AGGGACACGTGGACGGTTCAAATTGGCCGACACCATAATATACTTGTGGCCCATAAACACAAAAAGCGGATCCTTCACTTTATGCAAAGTAAATCCATTGGGATAGGCATAGGCATGCTTGGCGTGGATGAGTGAATATATATATATATAATTATCTGCCCAATTTAGCAAGAGAAACAAATGATAAGCCTTTTTCCTTTTACTCTTTTCTATTTTATATCATATTATACGTTTTTCTCTAGTGTTGTGCCACATTATTACTTTTAGGGTGCGGTTTGTATAGAGCCTAGGCTCTAAACAATCAAATTAGAACCTACCCTCAAATAGTATCTAGAAGTATGATTTCAATATTGAAATTTTTTGTGATAGTCTTAAAATATATTTTCATCTATATTTATAAATTTTAAAGCTTAAAAAATAGCTTGACATATCTATGAAAACTTGAAAATATTAAAAATTGACGGTCCAAAAAAGCATTACAAAATACACTAGTTCCAAAACTTGAAATCCATTTTTTTTCGCATGTCCATACATCTTGATATCGAGATGATCAATTTGAGGATACTTGAGAATAAAAACAACCTCTTTTAATAAAGTTTTTTACGTAGGCTCTAACTTGATGGTTTAGAGCCTCGGCTATGTATAAACTTTTCCCTTACTTTTATTCCAAGATTTGGGCCAATCCAACTTGTAAGGCTAGATACAAACAGATGCAATGGGTACCATCACACTTGATTTGGGACAAGTTGATGATGATGGTGATAAGAGAGAATACAAACAACAGCCTTGGGGAAAGAAAAATTGGTTGCTTTGTTTTCCCTTTCTAGAAAGAAAGGGTAAATGATTTATTGTTCTTGGAGTATATTGTCTATTTACATTGTTAAGCAAATTTAGTTGTATTTATAGGATTTCAACTTCTAGTAATATAGACCTAGCTACTAACTTGGAAAAAAAAAAAATCCTACAAGCAATTTACATGAAGATTGAATAGAGTTCATCTAATTTTTCAATTTAAGTATTGAAGAACTCAAATCCAATTTCAGTTTTTTTTAAATAATCACCAGGTGATTCCTAGGTGGATCCCCAAATTGTATACTGAAAAAGCTCTTTCACCTATGGGAAAAGTATATAATACGCAACTGTGGAGCAAATTATATATATATATATATATATATATATATATATTGGTAATTCAGTGGGGAAAACAGGCCCCTACCCATTTTTTGAAATAGTTTAGGATTTTTTAAAGTGTTAAGGGGTGGTGTAAGTGGGAATGATAACCATGACGTGGTGAATGGAAAACCAGTGTGAATGGAATGCATTTACACGTGTATCTACCTTCATGGATGTCCATTTTCTGATATTAAACTGATACACATGAATTGCATCATTCCAAATAGGAGCTAGTTAATCCATAGGTGTAGCATTAAGTTCCAAAGGTTATACCTGTGAACCACCCGCTTAAAGCAAAGTAGGCATAAGGAAAAAACAATAGACTAGACCAGCCTACACAAACGAAGTGGTCCTTCGTAGCCAGTCATCCATAATATCAAATAAATCATTTCCGTCTTTGGAAAACCTACAGGGCTATAGTCATCGTGATCCTCCTATTCAACTATTGCAACCATTTTCGAACACTTCATATCATTATGATTAAATAAAGAGTATATAGTGGTTCGATCATTTATGTATGGACGATTACTTGTCATTGCCCCTTCCAAAATATCGGGTTTCGAAGATATAGGTCCCACAAGACAAACCAACATAGGTAAATGCATGCTTCCCTGATCCAATTATTGCTTCCTATTCCTACGTCTGATCCGTGAATTGTTTTATACTTTTATGCCTTATCAATAAGATGAAATTTATGAAAAAACTATCAAATGATCCCTTCTCTCAGCTGAGTGTTACTTTTATAAGTGCTCTTATCGTGTATGTGTGTGCGCACGCGTGTGTATATATATCTAAAAACAAAAAAAAAAGGACAAACCTAAAAGGCCTTCGTGGAAGCAAGAGTTCAAAGGGTGGGGATGATTTTCCATTAATAATGAAACGTTGAGGAGAATCAGTGAATGAACCTTGACATGGGTATTGCAACAACAGTTGAAACTAAACCCTTATTAGCTCCTAATATGAGTGCACACATGAGGGTTGATTCCTAAGATGCTGATAAGGTTCTTTCCTCCATTGGAACAAGAATTGATTGAAGGCCAGAGAAACAGAGAGAAGGTTGTGAAAGTGAGGGGGGCATTTGGTGGTTTGTCGTGCATTAAATGCTCCCCTCCCATACCAACCAATAATACATGCATCTCTCCATGTTTTGAGTTCAGAAGTGGTTTTTCCAGAGAAGGCATCCTCTTTGTTGATAAAATGGAGCCCTTCTTAGATAAGATCCTAGTCCTCAAGCTTTCCTCATTAAAGCCCCCCTCCTTGTCCTTCACATGGAATGTCAGGTAGTTGGCCTCTCTAAGGGCCATTCCTAGTTAATGCTTACAAAAATTTGACTATCCATTGTCAATGTGTGGCTCTAGATATTCAATGTCCCTAAGTTTAGGCAATATGTCCTCAATCCTTGGCTTAATTTAGCTGCAGATTTAAAAGACTTTTGGCATTAGTCTTCTCCTCGTTGTCTTGTATGAGACATTTGAATGTGCAAGACCTTGGCCCCAAATGAAGACACATTTTAATCAATTTTGAGGGAGATGGAGAGACAGGGATGGATCAGAATGATTTTTCTCTTTCTTGGGTGGCCAAGCTAAGATATCTCTTTTGGAAGTTAGTGGGTCAGCCTTTACAACCACATCAAAATCTATGGGCACTAGAGCAATTTTTTCTTTTTGTAGGTTTACCTTTAGTGGAAATAAGAGGGTCTCTTGTTTTTTTGGTCACCAGTGTTTTGCGAAATCGGGCGCTTCAAATCGGAACCGGTCACTGGTTTTGGTGTTGTAATGAGTTTTTGAATATTTTTCATTATTTTGGCAAATATTGCAAAGTGTTTTGGTCATTAATATTTATTTTTATATTTTGCCATCTTTTTGAAATATTTTAAAAATATCATTGGCCACAAATTGATATTTTATAATTCGTTTTTCTCACTAATTTTCAATTTCATTTGGACGTGTTTTGTTTAGGCCAGAACTTGCACGGTTAGGCCGATCTAACCGGTTGGTTTACCGGTTACTCAGTACAGAACCTTAACTCGTTTCCGAAACGGTTCGATTTTTTGAGTTTGGTGGAAGTTTAGGCTTTAGAAGCCAAAACTCACGAGTCCTTAGGTTCCATGGGGATTCCCCAATTTTGGGAGTTGCAGTTCTAAAAATAACGGGAAAATGGAAGTTGCACCTGTTTCGGTTTCAAAAGCCAAAACCTCTGCCTCTCTTACCTCGATCCTCTTTTCCAAGTTTGAGCTAGTTTTTTTTTTTTTTATTTGGGTACTTGTAGTTTTTTTTTTTTTCTTCTTTGGGTACTTCAGTGGGAAATTAGATTTTTGAAGGTGTTGGTGGTGTTATCGGTATGAATTTTACATTGTCCACGCCTGATCATCTTTTACAAATGTAATGCTTCACAAATTAGGTATTTCCTTTATTTTTTACATGTGTTCAAGTTTTTTTAAACGCCGATCTCATTCGTTTACTCCGCAAGAAAAAGCACACTTTTGGGTGTTTAAAAGGTGATAGATTCTTTATTGATTAAAAATAAGACAACTAATTTGAAGACCAAAATTAAGACCAAAACTCTTTGGGAGCATCTTTAGAATAAATTACTAAAAACGTTATAATTTGGTAGGAAATAAAGAATCTCGAAAGTCATGAGCAAATTATACAAACCAACAAAATGAAATGGTGAGCGTATAAATGGCACCAAAGCAGTTGGCAAAACTCAAAATCTTCTCAAAATTTAGTCTACTAAAAAATTGTTTGTTGAAAAGTCCGAATCAACTCGAGCGAATTTGAACCGAACTAGCTATTTTTTTTATAAAACTGTGACGAGAATATGGGGCCAATTTCAGGGTTTCTTGGCCCAGAATCTTTTGGTTTCCAATTTAATTCGACTCACGAATCCATAGTTTGGTGATTTAAAAAAAAATAATTAAAAAATAAAAATAAATGGTGCAATAAACATGTCATAGCTCCCATGGTGCAACGTAGCTCCCAATATTTAGGTCCAACGTAATAAACAACGTAGCGCCCAATATTTAGGTCCAACGTAATAAACATGTCATAGCTCAGAATATTTAGGTCCAACGTAATCCTTTTTGAGAGAATACACAATATTAAAAAGTCAGCATGATGGATTAGCATGAACATAAGTTCAGTGCTTTTAATTTGCTAAGATCAAGTGATCCAAGTGGCCATACTTTGTGGATTTGCTTTGAAATGACATTCTTATCGTTTTGCGTTTTCCTATGAACGAAATACATGTCTACGGATGAGTATCAGAAATGTTAATATCAAAATTGTATTTTAGACACGATAACTCCGTACAACATTTATTAAATGGGAAATATGAGATTTAGGCAACCTTAAAAATACTTATGGTGAAACTTTTCAAGGAGAATAAGTAATAATAAAAAAATATATAAGTTTCTAAACAGTTAGACATAAGAGTCATCTCTTTGATGTATCTACACCTACACGTACAACAAACCACATACACATGTCTATGCTACATAGATTTTAACTAAATGAAATAAAAACTGAAATGCATAAAAAAGGAGCCACAATTTCATAGATATCACAATAATGCACTGAAACGCATAAAAAATGAGCCACAATTTCATAGATATCACAATAATGCAAATAGTAATGAAGGCAATGAGAGAAAATGACATCTTTAACTCTAGCGATACCTAAATTCAATAGTTGAAAGCCTTTTTTACAAAGCTTTTACATAATTTAGTGCACATCGGTCAAATCGTGATGGTGGACTGATAACATGTTTATGCGTATACATATCAATCAATAGTTAGTGCCTTGAAAAGAAGTATCACAACTAATAAAAGTCATGATATTACTCTTGAGAGAGACTTCTTTCAAATGAGAGAATCATAACTTTCAGGTGTTGATCTTAACTCAAAAGCAGCCAAAGAAAAAGCAATATCTCATTAGCCATATCCATAAGTAAATCCTGAAATTCCAATATCTTGAGTATAATTTGTTGAATTTCAGCTTTGGATTTCACAGATTGCACAAAAATGTATATTGTTTGCAGAAAAACAAGTTAGGAAGAACTTTGGGCAAACCTACTTTAAAAATAAATCTAGCCAGACCAAGATTTTCAATTTTCTTTTTTGTTGGATCTGATCATTAGATTCAATAAAGGGTGGGAAAAATAGTTAGAGACACATTTTAAGAGAGATTGGAGAGACAAACGGGGTTGAAAATGGTTACTAAGTCTGAACCATCAAATTAAATGAATGGAACCCAAGACGCCGTGTTATGGCAGCACCACCCCGACCATCTATGCCTTGGGTCCATTCCTAAAAGTTAAATATTGTATCATTTTCTTGGATGGTTCAGCGGAAAAAGGGTCCTGGAAGTAATGAAACTTAAGACAACACGTTATGACACCCTGCCACTCTGACCATCTATGCCTTGGGTCCATTCCTAAAAGTTAAATATTGTATAATAATAATTATTTTCTTGAATAGTTCAGTGGGAAAGGGGTCCCGGAAAGAATGAACGCAAGATGACACATTGTGGCACCCTGCCACCTTTCCAGATTACTTGGATAAGTAATTGGATGCTGATAAAACTACTCCTAAAATGAATAATAAATAAATAGTTACTATTAAAATCAGGCACTAATCCTGCGACGCAATCTGAGGTAGCCAAACTTCCCAGCTCCTGGTGATGAGCCCTCAAAAATAAAAGGCAAATATCCGGTAGCCGCTTTGTACCTTTGTTGAATCTGAAAATAAACATTTCTCTCACATCAACTGCCTTTTGAATGATTATAGTTTTTTACTATTTACAAAATGTAAGAACAGAAAACATGACCAAGCAACTGTAACCATTTCGCAAGATGGAAAGCATAGTTCTAATCAATTTGATCAGTGTTCCCATGATCATAAGGATCACGGAATACTGACCCAAAAAGAGAGGGGAGGGCATACTAAAATGTACTCAAGAGGGGATGGAAGCCACCAACCATTCCAAAAAACAGATGGTGGAGGTCAATTGTATCTGGGTAGATGTCCATTTGTACCAACTATAGCTAATGGCCACCGCACATCATGAGCAGATGACAGACGCTCCTTTACAGTAGTGTACACCATAATCTCCATTAGATTATGGTGGTGAAGATTGTGGTGTGCTTTTCGAAATAACACAGCATGTTGTTCATTTTAAGGAAGATCCAGGGCCTCATGGTTTTTTTTTTTTTCTAAATGGCATATAACACTAAGGGCCTTTTGGTAAAACAAAATTACCTCGAGAATTTCTTCACTGCTCCTTATACAGTTGCGTCCGATGACACAAACTGAACCACCTGACCCCCCTCCTGTAATCTTTGCACCAAATAAGGTTCCATGCTCCCTGCCATTTTTACGGTGCTGCATTTCCTGAACAAGTTTTACGAGACGATCCGTGCCATCTGAGCCAAGCCCACAGTCTGAATAGCTATAATGGCACTGTGCAGAGGCAAATTACAATTGAATCACGTCAAATTTGTGAAATGCTACAAAATTTTCTCAAACTACAATGAATCTAGTTTAGGGAGGATGTAGACAACCCAATTGCAAGGAAGGATTAGTAGGGGGGGCCCGTTTTCATCAGTCCTAAGGTAAATATTCATTCTGACAAAGTCATCTTTATTGACTCAAGAAAAAGAAAAAGGGTTCATTTATCTAATAAAAATATGATACACAAGATAACATACTTAACTATATATAAAAAAAAAGGATACACCAGATATCAACAAAGATAAGACTAGGCCAAATATCCAGTTCCTTTCCTTCCTTGCAAGTGGTCATATATGGTCTATTTAAGGTTTTATTTTTTGGGCAAGTATAAGTTCATACTTCCCGAACCAAATCATCTTCACATTTAGGGGGAAAATAAGTATCAATTTCTCACGAAATACGAAAACCTGCCCAAACTTGTCCTCTATGTCATTAAGTTTCTCTCGATAAAAACAAAGTGTTACCAAACTCGGTTCTTAACTAGTTGATCACATTAACTCACACAAGTAGCAGTCTGCTAAAAGTATGGCACCTTTGTACTTAAAACCATGAGCTTCACAATGACAAAAATTACTGCTTTTCATAGTCAACTATAACTTTTAGTCCTAATACATCGAGAAGCATTCATACATTTGAATGCATAAATGGCATATATACTCCTCCTAAATACCTGATATAGAAGCTCCCCAAGTGCTGAAAGTTGATCATCTGTTTTAGAAGCTGTGAGCAGCACTGTAAATGCCTGGAATTCAATAGAACATATTAACAAAATCATGCAAAAAAAAAAAAGACGAATATTTTTACTTCTCCAGAATGTATTTCTTTACAAATAAATTGTTAAATGAAACATCAAGGGAAGGAATTTTCAACAAGAGTTAAGTATGACTACATTCAACATTGCCCAAGATCCAGATTCATAAAATTTATACTCTATTCTCCCCAAATATTCCCATCTAAATAATTGAATTATAGAATGGATGTAAATTAAGACCACTATGTGGTAAACCCTAAGCATCAAGCAGCATGTATAAAATCAAATAGTTACAAAAGGGGCCTCTGATGGAAACCTGGGTCACACATCTCTTCCTGGTCTCTCCTTCCATGTCACATATAAATGTTTTTGTGCACATTGAATTTAGTTTACAACAACTCATATCACTAACCTTGACGCGAAAATTTTCATATATTGGGTGTCTAGTTGGTGCTCTCACTACGTAGGTCCGCTTGGGATCAATGGTTGTTACGGAGTCGCTGTGATCAATATATTCCTTCAAAAATGTCTCACCAGACATCGTCTCCGGAAGCTTCTTTATATATACAGCTTCATATCTATATCAACAAATTATAAGTCAAATAAATAGGAATGGTCCTTCAGCCAATTAAAACAAGAGGGAAAAATTCATCTTTCTTTTAGGAATAGGGTAAATAAAAACTCCAAATCAGTGTTCATCTCCATTGGCTCCTTGATACTTGAAACCACCCAGAGTACAGAAAGTTATTTCAGATAATGAAGAAATGTCCTTCTGTTTTAAGAAGAAACAAACAAAAATTTCCTTCCACAAACATAAGTATAGGAGGTTCTAAGTGGAATTCAAAAGGAACTGTATATATTACACCATAATTTATTTATTTACTGGTAAACCTAGCCATAAGGTAAGGTCCACCTTCCCTGATTTAGGAAAATGGAGATTGCATTGTGTTCATCTTCCCATAAGGCTAGCGCGCACGTAGGCGTGAAGACAAGCAAGAAAACGGATGCGCATTAGTGCCGCACTAGCCGTTGCCTCTTGTTTTCGAGCCAGCGAAGAAACGGATGCTCTAATGCGCCGTTGCTTCTTGGCTTTCAAGCCTAGTGGTTATTGCTTTGGGATCCTATAATTCATTGCTACTAACTAGAAGAAGTTCCTAGGCTAAGAAGAGCTCCCCTGTAAAGCCTTTGATTTGACTTTGGGCCATGCCACTTCGAAAGAAAGGGAACCTGTTGGGTTGGGAGAACCTGGATATGTCGATTTAGAATAAGCCGAACAGAAGAGAGGTCTTCCATTGCAAAAAAGAAAAGAAACTATTCAGCCTTTAAGGAGAAAACTCAGTTATAACAATACTTAATTTTTGTGAAACCAGAAAAGAGAAAAGATTGTTTATAGGAAAATTTTACAAGCCATAGACTGATGATATGGTTTACATGCATTATGTTTTAATATCCTACGCTGTGATACTCTCAAGAAAACTTGGGATAAGTTGATCTTTTACAAGCAACCCAAAGGTACTACAACAAATTTGGAAAGAGAAGCTACATGGTACTTCTTTGGAAATTCGAGGGTATTTTGTATTTCAAAAGCCAATAGTATTCACTTGCAATTACCAAATGATAGACATTGTGCTCCAGCAAAACATACAACCCAAACTCAAAATGTGGATTCTATTTACAGATCCTCAGATGTTCCTAATAAAATGTTGAAATGTTAAGACTGGGCCAGTGTAGAGACTATTACCTGTGAGGAGAGAGATTGCACAAGTAATCTAATGAAGCTTCAGTTTCAAGTAAGTCCATGCCCTGTTCTTCGAATTCATCACAGTTTGTTCCATCTGCATTCTTCTGGGCAGGGGCATTAGGCAGTGAACAAGTGAATAGTGTTGATGCTGTTGACTTTATAATCTTGCGGCCCATGAAGGCTCCAATTCTCACAGACCCATAGTCAGCTCCACCGACACTGAAAGTTATATGTATATCTTAGGAAGAAAGAACATTCCATTTGTATCTCTATTAAAAAAGAAAAGGAAATAAATTGCAAATGTGTCTCCACCAACACCCCAAGCAATACCTATGGCGAATTCCTGAATCAAACCCCCAAAAGCGAATATGTGTAGGGATATTCACAAGTTCTTTTACTTCAGCAGGCTGCTCCATTCAACAAAGGAAAGAAGGCAAGTCAATATTACAAGACTTCAACCAGATTAGCAGCGTCACACAATAAACATGCATTTGGATAATAACCTGGCAAACCATTGCTAGAAGTTTGTTGGCCTCTCCACATGCAGATGTCATTTGGTCCATCACACCACATGGAGCTCCCACAACATGATTCTCAACCTGACGAAGTGAAATCCAATAAGCTCCAGCATCCAAATTAGCCTTAAATCGAAATATAAAAACACACTACCAAAGTTATCAATAAAAGATTACCTTCTGACAGAGCAACGCAAGATCCCTTGGGGAAATGTTCAACCCTGCATATAAGGGAAAAAATCAGCTCATATTATTATTCTCAATAAATTCGCTAAAGAAATTTAGAGAGCATTTAATCATCTGATTCTGAAAACTTCATAATAACTCAAAAATTTTGCAATTTATAATAAAACTAAAAACTTGATAATCTATAAGTTTTGAGCATTCATAAAACAAGTGATGGAAGGCTGAAGCATTCAATACAACAACACAGTAAAACTTGAAATTTGATGCAATTCTAATAAATATGTAAACCATTTCTTTCTATCTGAATTCCAAATCAATTCAGTCCAGTCTACTCATTGTCAACCATCTCCAAAGTAATCAGCTTTGTGTTAATGCTTTTGGGAGGTGTAGTCTTTTGGTCTTCTTGTGAGTCACTGCCCATTGAGATCATCTACGAAAGAGCACATGTGACACATACGTCTGGGATAATTCATTCATTGGAAATCTAAAAAAAAAAGTACTACAAAAGAAAAGCTTATTTACATTTAGTCTTGATTTGGGATTACTGTTCTACAAAGACAAGCATCATAGTTGCCCATGGTGATACATTCTACAATCACTAACGGAAGGATGCTTATTTCAAAAGGAACAATTCATTGGCAGTTTCTTAGTTAGCTTTAAAAGAAGTCCTTAGGTCAAACATAAATCCTACATAAATTAAAAAGTACAGGTAGCATACCATGTGCAGCAGCTATTGCAGACATTGTGGCAACTTCCACTGAAGCAGAAGAAGATACACCTTTGCCCTCTGGAACTGCTGATGAGACCTAGAAATTTAATCAAACATCAATTGAAATTGGTACCAAAAATATAAACAAAATATTCAAAAAGAAACTACCCGCCACTTTGGACAATCCTATGGCTTATCTTGCCCATGAATAAACAAGAATGCTGGCAACAGGTTCAGGCTGAAGATAGACCAGATAAAAAGAACAATTTATGCAGCAACGTATCAACATTTCTAAAGGAGATCAAGGATTCTAAAGGGTTACAACCAATACATTATGGTGAACCTAGAAAAACTAAACAATGGTAAAGCTTTTCTTAATTTCTGAGAGAGGTGCACAACAAGAGTTAAAGAATGCAACTAGTGTTACTTACAAAATTGAGTGGTAGATACACCATCAAAGGCAAATGAAAATTACAGTTGAACAGAATCTCAGAAGAAAAGTTTACCAGGATGCTGATGCTGTCAGTAAAACGCACACCCAGTTCGGACATTAAAACAAGTATTGTTCCTGCTACATATGATGCCCACCTGAGTACAAAGCGAAACTAGTGAGCCTTCCAATAAAAAATACCTTTCTTTTGGCTAGGCATTAGGAAAAAATAACAATAGAATAAACAAAAGGGGAGCATAACCAACTTCTGTGAAGGATCTTGTGAAAAATATTTGAATGCCCTTTCATATGTAATTGGGTTCTTGCCATCCATGAAATCAGCTAGGTCCATATCAAATGTTGGTGCACGGTTACTCAGTTCTGATCCAAAAGAAACCTGTACGAAACAACAGTATTAAGTCACACATATACAATATGAAGTAACTCCATGTGGAGTTCACATTCCATGCTAATTAAATACAAACAAAATGACATCAAGAAGATGAATGCCAAAGTGATATATACGATATATGACAAGAATTAGAACAATTATAATGGTCTTCTAAACGAAAGGCACATGGTTGGCACACAACATTGTATCCCTGGATGAACTCCATAAGCAGGCATTCAATATATTTTGTATACAACTGATCATATTTGTACATAACAGTGGGTTGGTAACATACAATTTGCAGTATAGGGCTTGAGCCTTGGCCACTTGAATTCCGTCGAGCTTGAGCATGTTTCCAGAGCCGCTGCTTGCTTGGGTGAATCCTTTGTACAGCAACATGGCAAGCTTCTCTAATTGGCATCTATTAGAGACAAATATTACGCCAATCTCAAAAAGTCAAAAGGAGAAGAAAGGACATCACATCGATCTGATAGGTTATGCATCAAATATAAAAGGGTGTGGTTTCCATAAGGTTGAAACCTTAAACAATGCAATTAAGGCGCACCTTCAAATTTGATCATAACATATAATTTTGATGTAAAATATGCTTAGGATTATCTCAAAATCTATTTTGATATCTAATTATAAAATTTTAAACTCTAAAAATGGTTAAAATCAGGTAGATCTATAAACATATGAAAATTTTGAAAATGTATGATCTAGATAATGTGTTGTAAGATACACTATTTTTGAAACTTAAAATCCTTTTTTCTTTCATAATCATACATCTTGAACTAGAGATGCTCAATTAGAGGGTTTTTCAACACTAAAACAACTTTTTACAATAGATTTTTGAGGTGCATCCGTAGTTCTACATTTTAAGGTTGCAACCTTATATAAACTTTTCCAACCCAAAAACATATCTGACAATAACCCTGTGTAGAATTATGATGTTGAATCATGTAAGGATCAGAAGAATAAATATCACCTTAAGAATAATAATTGCAACCAACATATAAAATAGATCCACCATAAATGAGAAGAATCAACAAGATCCAACCTGTAGAACAAGGCTTCCTGAATAGTCTGCAATTCCCCCCATAACATCCAACCTCCCAGGAGCTCTGGTAACAAATATATCCTCCTGCATCGCGAGGACTCTTGTTAATTAAATTATCGATTATCAAGGCAGATGTGTCAAGGCCACCATTTTGAATTCTTTCGGTGCATGCAGAAACGCACCACACTTGCATACAATGTATATAAATCATTTGTATGCAGTACATTAAAACAAAAATAAGTACTAGAAGCAAATTGCAATTAGTAAAGCATTTGTAGAGGACCTCCCAATTAAAGAGTCCTGCAGCGGCAACACGTTCCCTCATTTGGCGTTTCTCCGTAGTTTTGTTTGCATCAAACGCCGAATCTAGTCCAGCCAAGCTCTTCAAAAAAGCCACTGTATCGGAAAGACCATGCAGCTCTCCATGAAGAATCTCAAATTCCTCAATGAATCTAACCAAGACAAGGGAGAGGGCCCATTTGGATAAGTATATATGAATTCTAAATTAACATAGAAGCTGGGAAGCATACTACAGGAGATTTTTAAACTTACGGTTCTGTAAGAGAGCCTTTCTCTTGAATTTCAGGTCTAGGTACTGCAGGGCGGAGACCAAGTTCATTTTCCGCAAGTGTATACCATTCTGGAATAGTGATATCTCGTCCTGGGGCTCTTTGTAGTTGATAGCCAAGTACAATGGCATCTCGCAATCTTCTTGCTCCACTAAACTATATTTGAATGGAACAAAGTCAAAACATATTTAATTAAAGGAAATTTATCATAATACCCACAAGAATTGAAGTATTTATCATTTTCATCATGTGTCTTTTGATGGGTGTTTAAATTTTAAATAAAAAGATATGGCTATATTGTTAAAATCCTAATCTCTCTTGGGTACTTGGATAAATTTCCCTTTAGTCAATATCATGGTAATAAGTAAACAGTTTCAAATTAAGTACCTTAAAAGTATGTATTTATAAAGGCTGAGTCCATTTTCTCTCGGCCCATATACTACCACTACAAAATAAGTTATTCTTAAATTTGGGTTATGTAATTACTTAGGCACACCATGATTATGGGCAGGGCTCAATTGCCTTTCTTACACCCAATACAGTCTGAAGAAAGGGAGTCCTGATGCCTTTTCAAATATGATGTGAAACCATGTATTGTTGGTTTTTTGCATTATCACAGAGTGGGATGTGCATCTCAAACTAACAACATCTTCTCATGCATCATGCCAGACTGGATTCTGCAGGTTTTTTCGCAAATGCAGTATAAGTTATAAGACTGGAAGATATACTAATATCATATACATGGAGTTAGAAATATGTTTTAGAGACATAAAACAAAATGATTGGTCATATTTATTTTGAGTAAGACATTGCATTGAATCAAATAAGGAATGCATAGATCAAGTTGCACCAGTTGCAGACATATGAAAACAGAAAAGTAGGGGTAGAAAACAAAGTAAACAGGACTCCAAGAAACAAGTTAGAACTACTGGCTCAAAATGAGACTAGGTGAATTTAGGGGCAAATCAAGGTAAGTAAAGGACTCTCAAAGTGCTAAGGAATCTCCCATGACACCATTACGGTTTGATTCAAACAAACATGTCCTCTACAACAATGACAATGATTTCCTCCATAATTTACTCCAATAATGGTAACAAAAAAGAAAATAAGTAACAATGAATTCCAATAGACAACAAAATACCTTTTATGGGATAAATTTAGATAAAAAGATACTTCATCATCTCCCAAGTAAAAAAACAAGTCAGCATGAATGGTGTTCTAGGAACATAATACCAGCAAGAACTTGGAAACTAGTGGCCAAAACTTGTAAGACATATTTCAAGCGCTATAGTCAAGAATAATGTCGCTGATGTCTACATAATTGCACAATTTTTTGGGTTGAGTTACAGAATTGTACTACTTGGCCTACAATGTACAACTGATATGACAAAAAAATGGAGTAGCACCTAAAGGTGCCTGTTTCAGAAATGAACTTGCTACTTCTTGCATGTGGTTAAGTGCATTAAGCATTAAGCATCAAATGAAAAATGTAAATTATTAAAATGTTAAATAGATAAATCCTCAAATAAACATAAATGGAGCACAATGATTATTGGCTGAAAGTGGGCATCCCTTTACAATTCTCTCTTGAGATTTTTTTTATCACTTGAATTTTTCTTAAATTATGGAAGATATCCATAGGAGACATTTCAAAGATATGATTAGGTAAACATTCCCTCAGATTTTTGCATCTCTTTTGGTAATCTCTCATAAAATTTCTTTCCCTTTGATTTTTAATTAGGAGATAATTACTTTCCTATCTAAAAAGAAAGAGAATTTATAAATATATATAACCAACATGCCTTTTCATGTCATATCTTAAAAATTTTCAACTGTCTAACCCCAAATCTTTCTCTCTCAGTAACCTACATAAGCCCTCTCTCATATTCACATGTCCTACCCTTAACTATGGCTTAATATCTGTAGAGTAGATTCCCTTTGATTTGAATTAGGAGATCACCTCCCTATTCAAATAGTGCGAGAATATAGGAATAGATAAATTCAATTAGTAGATATTTAGTTCCTTCTCAAAAAAGAGAGAATATAGGAAGAGATAGGTTAAAATGGGGAAGAGGAAGACCTAATGTGGGTTCATGCTATAACCTATGATTTGTAACTGCCCCACCCTAAAATCTCTCTAGGTGACCTACATAAGCCCCCTCTCATTGTAGGGTCCATTTCTCAATGAGAGATGTTCTAGCTACAAGCTTAACAAATGTAGAATAGATTGTGTGTACACAAGGGAGGTGATGACAGATATCAAAAGTTCAAGATGAAAAAGAAAAAAAAGAAAAAAACTAAGGCATGATTTGGTATAGCAAGTTTAATCACAAAAGCCAAATATTACGTTGGGTTTCAAGGTCCATGAATCAAACAAGTGTGCTTATGACAACTTATGGGGGCAAAATCACTTGCTTAAGACATTGCAGCCAACGGAAACAACATTGGCCAATAATCGCCCTGCTGAATTACCTTATCAGATGTATGTATTTTCCCAATAGCTGTGTCCTGCAGTATGCGAGCAGCAACCTGACAACCAACAAGATAACCATTCCTTCAAATTATCAGTGTACATATATTTTATGAGAAGCATAACTCCATATATTTTATGAGAATCATAACTCCACATTTCTGTTCAAAGAGTCCTACACCCTTGAGGAGAGAGCATTTACATTTGTACACAATCCACATGTCCATAAAAATAATATTTCAAAGACAATTCAACTAATTGAAAATTCGTGAGTAGTTCCAAATGATCTTCAAATTTGTGACTTTAACTAAAATTCATATTTTGAAACCATAATGAAAGAATTCATGAAATTCAGTTCCACTATCTCAGGATCTTTTTTTCTAAAAACAAACTTTGAAGTCGGACTGAAATTTAAGAATTATGCATTCTGAAATTCTTAAACACCTTACTCTTCAGGGCAAAATATTTTCCATTAAAGTAAATAGTAAATGCAATTTATTGATAAAAGACAACCTACCACCTGAACCTACCCCCGGCCCCCCTTCCCTCCCCCGTCCAGGGAATAGTTAACCAATGTCCGAGCTCATGGATAAAATGTATTGCACTAGAAGCAGGGGCATTAGCCTCCAAACTCAGAAGTTACAAAGAATAGAAATCGTACCTCACCACCATTAATGCCTTCTTCATAGCATGGCTTAAGACTTAGTGCACGCTCAAGGTAAGGTATCCAATGTCCAGTCAGTAGGTCTCGTCTGATCATCTCGACGCCACCCTGATAATACTGTTTAAACATGTGCGTACACAAAATCCAATACAGTCAGCAACATAAGTACAATACATATGCAAGAAAGTGAACGCAGAAAAATAATCTAGAGAACTTGGTTATATACCTCTAGCATATTCCTCAAAAAAGGTTCTTCATTGAAATAATCTCTACGTACAAATACAAAAGGCACCTTGTATGCAAGAGCTTCACTGACGGTACCATATCCAATTTTCCCTGAAAGATAAGTGTATCGAGCCGACCAAGTAAGTTTACAAGTAGACCTGAACCTTAACACAAATCTCATGGTTTATGCCTGAACTAAGCTTACATACCAAGCATGCAGTCACATGCTGCTATTAAGTCAGGGGTGTAGACATCTTTTGGAAGCTTTATAAAGTTAGGTGGAAGTTCTTGCTTGTCAGATGCTGCACACACCTTCATCAAAGAACAGAAAGACATTATTATGGTAACATCCAAGCTACCGCAATATCAATGAAAAAAAAACAACGTACTGATCGCTACAGCTATGCTTACCAGACATAACCAACCATCTGGTAACCATTCCTTCTTCAGTGTCCAGCCAGCTTGCTGCACATGGAAAATGCCAAAGGCTTGATGGTACGCTCACATGTCAAACAGCTATAACTATTGAAGAAAACACTTGGAGTACATGGGGTGGGGATAGTATTTCAGAGGGGCATCAGCTATAGAATTTGGGAGCCAGTGTTTCAAAAAGCGCTAGGAGGCACCTAGCAGTCGGGGGGGTCCAGGCCGACCAGCACCTAGGCAAGCGCCCAGGTGGAACCTGAGTGGCCCAGTAGAAAGTTTTTTTTGGGGGGTTTTTCTCTCGCTCTAATGGGTTTTAGGTTTCAAAACCCACAATTTTGCACCTTTAGTATTAAAAAAATGACCCCAGAATACCCTCAACGAGGGGCATTTCCACCCCTGGGTGGGACGCAGGCCTTGGGCAGGCGCCTAGGCAGGTTCCCGGGCGCCCAGGATATCCGCTTTTTTTGGGCGCCTAGGCCTAGGCGATGCGCTCAAGCCCCCAGAACTGCCTAGGCGCTGGGTGGTCCGCTTTTTGAAACATTGTTGGGAGCGTAATTGAAACCAGACTTCTACTTTGAAGACAACACGTTTCACAACAAAGATCCAACTAGGATGAAGAAACACTTGGGAGTATTTGGGGGGGGGGGGGGGTTGGTTTATAGTATTTCAGAGGGGCATCAGGGGGTTGGTTTATAGTATTTCAGAGGGGCATCAGATATAGGATTTGGGAGGGTAATTGAAACTAGACTTCAACTTTGATGACAACTCTTTTCGCAACCAAGGTCCAGCAAGGATCAGGGGTTCAATCAGGGATGAGGTTGGGAAGTAATGAAGGTGCACTTAAGTGTAATGGGAGAGCCAAAGATCCCTTTAACAGTTTCGATCTACGTCATAACATGATCAGATTTCCTACAAAAAGAAAAATGGTGACCAGACAGGGTAGAAAAGAGTACAACAGCTATTGGATTATTTATTATCTTATAGTGGAGATCCTGCAGATCAGTGGCAGTTTAAGGATCCCACTCCAGCCAACACATCGGTTATTTTCTCGGACAAGAAAGTAAGTATCACGGGATGCATGTATGGAGTGTTTCCCTACTTTCCACAGTTCCTATGTACGAAGCCACAGTTACCATCTCTCTCTATTCAACAATAGAAGTTCGATAAAACGCTAGATGAAGGTCCTGACCTGTCCACCAAAATTAAACAAAACTAGTTTAACATCATTTCCAATCCCGAGTTCCTTCCTGACCTGTACCACAAGAACACAATGTCAAATAAGCATCTAAATCCTAGTCAGCTTCTAGAGGCAGACAGTCCACACCTCAGCTCTATCCTTGTGTAATCTCCTCACTACAAGTGGCACATCAATTACATCACGGAATGCTGGCACTGCAGTTTGGAAAAATAAAAAGAAACAAAACAAAGACCAGAATAAAGGTCCCAACAGGATCTGGCAAAAGGCTTTACATGCCAAGAAAGTATGTTCTAACAAAGAAAAAAATTATGAAATAAATGTTACACATACTTGGGCAATATCCTGGGAGGCGGATTAAGAATTCGCAATGAGAATAATCTTCTGCTATCTGCAGTCAGATGTCACAGAAATAAAAAATTACACTTCTATCAATTAAATAACAAAAAAAATAGAATGGGGATGTGTCAACAAAATGAAAAGGAGGAAAGCACGAAAAGCCAACGAATATTCTGTAATTAGGTTGATGAACATGGTTAATGCTAAAGAAATGATGAATAGGTTACAACTCACTCTAAAACTGCAGTACTCAGGTCATAAAGAAATCCATTTTTCATTTAAGTTAAGAAATACAAGTGACGTTCTCTGGTAGAGAAGATTCAAAAGATCTAAGGCAGAAAACACAAAAAAAAATGACAATATGACCAACCCCATATGCAAAACAAATGATTTCCTATATCAATTTCTGCTTTTGACTGCTCTACAATGACAGTCCATGATGCAACACCCCCCCCCCCCCCCCCTTCCAACCAAAAAAAAAAAAAACTCTTTCATAAATTTGTAACTTTAGTCATTGCTTGAACGGGCTAAATCCATCAAAGCGTTGACCAAAACCAAACTAGGCAGCAATTCCTTTTGTTTGTGAAGGGAAACTTAGAGAGTTCAATTAGATTTATTGATATTCCACTTCGAGTATGCCTTGTCCTGTGTGATTTATAAACATCTAAAAGAAAAGGTTTTGTTTGGATTACATGTCTCCATCCAGGAGCCATGAAATCCACGTTTTACATTAAAAACATCAACCAAACCAGCAGTGAGGGCCCGTGCCAAAATTATTGATGCACACTAGAAGCAGTACCTACATAATCCATCTGGGTAATTTTTTTCCTAATGAACTAGTGAAGAACAGATATTTAGGGAAAGGTTGTCACTTGGCACATAAAACATAATCAAGTGAGATGCATAGATCTGCAAGGCTAAGACTAATGCTGAATTTAAAGAGAATTTCTTAACCAAACTTTTTCTTTTACTGGATGCTGTTGCTCAATCATTTGTATTTGATTTTCCAAATGATCAACAAAAGATAATTAGATTGGCAAACCAATATGATCAAAATTATGCCATTCACAAGTAAACAAGATGAATCACCTGCCAAACAATTGAACGATGATGGTATCCTGCTGCCATTACATATTCGGCGTAAATAAAATCCCAACTACAAGGATCAAGAATAGAATTAGACACACAAACAGCTAAAAACATTTTGGGGATTCAAGCATCAGGGGGGTATCAAATTGGTTATCATCAATAGGGAAACTATCACATAGGGAGAAAAAGAAATTGGCTAACCATGACACTGCAAGCCAGAAACCTAGAAAACAAAATATGGCACATAATTCCGAGAAGGAAGGATAACATATGTAAAAAAACTGTGTTAGCTGAAAGAAACCAAAATGATGATGACTGGACGATAAGAAAGCCTTCAGGTGATCGAGCAAAAGAATCCCAAAGAAGTTACCAGGAAAAAGCAATAACCTAAATCATTTATAGATCAATTCAAACGCTCCAGATGTTTCTTTACCCAAAAGTAAACTACCAATGAACCAGTCAAACTGGTCACTGAAAGGAGAACTGTATATAAAATCTCCATTTATATGAAGCCCTTTACTAGTGTAGAACATTCACCTGAAATTTGTTACACAGACAGAGCGGATTCCAGCATCTGCAGCTGCACGACAGGCAACAGGTACAACATCCGAAACCTGTTTTGGGAAAACGTGGGTTTTTCCATTTAAAACATATTTAAGGCTGCAATTAGAAGCAAAAGAATAATGTGCAGGTCCAGTAAATAATGCAGCTCCAAACTGAGGCATCATAAATACAGCTTTGGATTTATAACTTGAACTTGCAAACCAAACATACATACAAAGAACATGCAATATAAGATGGTGGTTACTTCAAAAACTAATAGACAGAATACAGCAACACCAAACTTGTAGTCAACATATAGATAAACCGATTAGAAGTATAAAGGGGCATAATGACGTACCACCAAATCAGCCTTTATGGAGTTTAGCCACTCTACTTCAGTAGCCAATATAGAAGCCCGAGGTACCACAGCTGTTTGAGAATACTGTTTATAATTCCAGAAGAGATTAACCCGACATATCTCAAAAAAAAAAAAAAGGAATAAAATCCAGAAGAGATCAATCAGTAAATGACAACATGGTGAAAGAAATAAGAATCGTCAAATCCAAGGCAGAAAACCCACTTCACCAAATAAACATACCGATAGGCAAGATATAAACACATTGTGTTAAGAGTAGGACACCAAGGTATTATGGATATTGTAAGTTTGGAAGTGTAATACAGCACTTTCAAGTTCAATATCTAAAGACATCAGTAGGTCAAGAAGTAGGTACTTTTCCATGTTGAAATCATGGTGAGCAAATCAACGAGTTCTGAAAAGTATGCTAAAGTCCACAAATTGGACAAACGCAACATCTGTTTTGGGGTTATAGGCTAATGGGCCATAAAGACTTAAGAACTGAAATAGACAATACCAACCTATAAATGAAAAAGACAAAACATATTTGATCTCCTATGGGGCTTCAATACCTTTTCTAAGGAGGCAAGACGATCCACTGTCAGAGCATCTGCTTGCACAGCTCCACAATCAAGTAACACCTGCGGTCCCAAAGATTACTCTTTAAATCTGTGTAGTGCAGTGCTAAATGGCACTAACACAAGTTTCACTGTCCAGTACATGTGTAAGGTGTCTAGTACATTGAGCTAAAAAGCCACTACAGACTTGAAAAGTGTCATAAATGTATTTCTTATAAAATTCTTTTATAAAAAGTATATGAAAATTAAAATTGAAACATTGAATTAAAATGCTTTGTTGCAAGAAAACTTCAAAGCAGAGACCATGTCATTTTCTTTTGTTTTGGTAATAAATATCAAGACACCTATAAATATTATAATTTTGCAAAAAAATATTCACATGGTTACTTGTAGTGGGTTGGTAGACTGTTTTATCCACCATTGCCTTTCTTTTGTTAGTTAAAAACACATATGACATGGAGTGTCTTGTAAACCAACACTTCTAATATCCGTGTTCGGTACACACAACATATACATTCTGCTGCAGGCACATATGGATGACATGTCTACTTTGTGTTAGGGAGTGCCAATATATATCTAAGTGTTGACACCTGACACCAAAAAAAGTCTACCCATGTAACACACATCAACTATGATTGAAAATGTTTAATTGAAAAGCAACTTGTTTTAAAGTAGGAACAACAATGTCACTATCTATGACTTCTTAGGTAGGAATTTTCTAAACACATGAGGCGTGGCAGGAGAGAAAAATTCTCAACACCAAAAGAAGCAAGAGGGGGGGAGGGGAGGGGCGAGAGAGAGAGCTTCTCTGCACCAGAAATGGATTTCAGTTGATTCTGAGCATGTGAGGTGAACCTTATTAGTGTAAAAGCTACCACAAAGATAAGTTGGCGAGAGCACATGAAATAAATATTAAAAAGCGACAATAAAAAATGAAAAAAATGATAAGGATCAGAGTTTGGATAGGATTTCTATATGGAAAATTGAAAACTCCCTTAGAAATTCAGTTATAAAAATTTTCAACCCATTAGTATGCACTTTCTATTGCACTTGACTCGATGTGTTCCTTGAGCTTTGACACTTAGCCTAAGAGCTTGGACCCTTAGCCTAAGAGCTTGGTGGCACAACCTCTCTCTCTACACACACCCATACAAAAGACGAGGCGAGGCAGGCGCCTGCTGCCCTACAGAGCACTTGGAGCCTCAGCCTGCCTGAACTGCATATGACATTTTCCTCTCTTTCTCTCTCTCTCCACACACACACACACAGAGGACGAGGCGCAGGTGCCTTCTGCCCTAGAGGGCACTTGGAGCCTCAGCCTGCCTGAACTGCACGTGACATTTTCATTTTCAACTAACCTTGCGAATGAATAGATTTGGTGATTGTATCTCAGTGGTAAATACAAAATCAGGGGCACCAGTAACTACATGAACAACATGTCCAGCTGCAATTAGATGCCTCACAACCTGCACAAAACACAAAACATAAAACACTTGGGAATCCAACAAAAGGCGAGTAAAAGCTCACCACGCACCATAACAATAATTCCCAACTTTCAAATAAATAAGTGGGATACCAAATCAAATATACAAAAATCATAGTGTCCCAAATCACGTGATCATCAAGGGATTATGAAACAAGATCAGTACCTCAATTACACGAGTAGCGTGACCAAAGCCATGGCCAGTTATGTAGTAAGCAAATACAAGGTATTTTGAAGGGACTGGTGCTATGTCCTCTGTTGATCCCATGTCTTCTTT